TACAACTCTCTTGAATTTCGTCTGCAAAAGTAGAAGGAAAACAAAAAAGAACCAAGAATGTAGAAAAAAAAGATGTTGCCTTTTCTCGTTACTGGAGTAATCATTCAGTACCATAGGCATTCTAGTTGAACTTATTTTAAAACTATAGTGGTTCTGCATAATAACTTCTTGAAATAGACTTATCCCCCAAAAAAGAGGAAAGAAGGTCTATTTCAATAAGTTATTATGCAGAACTACTATAGTTTTATAATAAGTCCAACTGGAATGCTTATGGTACTGAATGATTACTCCAGTAATGAGAAAAGGCTACGGCTTTTTTTTTTTCTACATTCTTGGTTCTTTTTTGTTTTCCTTCTACTTTTACAGACGAAATTCAAGAGAGTTGTATGTTCCATATTACTATTCTGTACTTAATGCTAAAGGGATGGTACTTTTTACTCTGGAAAAGTCAAGGTTCTTGGCTGTGTCAAGTATGTTAAATTTTATTGTAGAAATGTACCTAGTTTTCACTTTGGCCAGTTAGAACCAAATTATAAATTAGCATTCAACACTTGGAACTCGTGTGATGCATAGAACGTGAATTCTCGATCTTTCCTTGTTTTCCCTCCCCCCTGCCCAACCTAAATTGCACTTCTATGGCCCTTTTCTGCCAATATGTTGAAGTAGCATATCTCTGAAATTGACATTCTTGTTTGGTTTTAGAATTGAGGGAGCAGAAATTAACAAGAGCTTGTTAGCTCTTAAAGAGTGTATTCGTGCTCTTGACAATGATCAGCTTCATATCCCGTTCCGTGGGAGCAAACTCACTGAAGTGTTGCGTGACTCCTTTGTTGGCAACTCAAAGACAGTTATGATTTCCTGCATTTCTCCTAATGCTGGATCATGTGAACATACACTCAACACATTAAGATATGCAGACAGGTAGTTCTAGCCTTTTTTGTACCAGTAGAATGTTTTTTTCATTTTTATTATGTCGCTGAACCCATTAACATTGTATTTACAGGGTTAAAAGTCTATCCAAAGGTGGAAACAACAAAAATCAGAGTGCAAGTGTAACAACTCCAACATTCAAGGAACCTTCTCTACCGACTACTTTGGCTGCTTCTGCTGAGGCAGAAGATGCTTATGAGCAACCTCAAGAATCTAAAGTATCAGAAGCAAATAGAAGAGTTATGGAGAAAGAAACAACATCATACAATTCCGCTAATGTTTTTGATAAACAACCCTCTAGATTTTCTTCAAATCAAACGTTCAATGGTCAGGACGATGGAGGGACAAATTTTGGTGGTATGGATAGGGACAGGTTTGAGGCAAAGAATAGCTATGGTGTCCCAGCTGGTCAAAGAATGCAGTCTACATCAAATTTGCAGAGTTCAACTGATACAGAAGACAAGGTGCAGAAAGTGTCTCCACCTCGGAGGAAAGTTTCTCGTGATGAGAAACCTGAAAAGCCAGGAAAATGGTCAAGAAAAGATGCCTCGAGCTCTGAGTCATCCTCTATGAGTTATAAACAGCAAAATGCAAGTATAAGAAGTGTTGGATCGGGACAAAATGAACCTTCTTCGCCCCCTCATGATGATAATATCAATGAATTACTGCAGGTTAGCCTATGAAGCTCTTTTACTTCTCATCTCGTAAGATATCCTCATTAATAACAGTTATGACCTTTTTGATGTCGGTGTAATTTTCCTCTTTCTGCTGTAAAAGGAAGAAGAGGCCCTGATGGCTGCACACAGGAAAGAAATTGAAGATACGATGGAGATTGTTCGTGAAGTAAGAACATCCTAGTTTTTCTGGTCTAATGAAGTTCTTAGCACTTTACCATCTCTTTGCAATATTGGGAATATTGTTCACTTGAGATAATTAACATATTGTTGCTTTTCTCTGTCAGGAAATGAAACTGTTGGCAGAAGTTGATCAGCCTGGAAGTCTCATCGACAATTATGTAACACAATTGAGCTATGTGTTGTCGCGCAAAGCAGCAAGCCTGGTCAGCCTCCAGGCTCGTCTTTCCAGATTCCAGCATCGACTAAAAGAGCAGGAAATACTGAGTAGAAAGAGGGTACCACGCTAGACAGCATTCGAGCTTTTAATTGAAGTGACCGTCCTCTCTCTCTCCCCGCTCATTTGTACAACTCCGCCTTTTGTATTATTCAAATTGTAGTTTAATTTCTCTCTTGCCAATACACAAATCATTTGGTGAAATTACAATGTGCATATGAAAACAAATTGTATGAAAGGAACTATAGACGAACGACTCATGCTATACAACTAGTGAAGCAACTTCATATACTCCGGGCAAGGTAACAAGGTGTTTCAGAGCTTTTTAAATTTGTTGTGATCAAATTTGGACTTGTCAAAAATGTGGACAGAAATCCATATCTATTACTGTGTGTTGTCGAATTCCATGTTGTGCCATAGGTTTCTGGGAAGTTAGATGTTCAATTGTAACTAAAACTTTTACTATTTGTTCTCTTGTAACAACATTATTGATTCGATGATTTCACTGTGTATCAAGCAGTTATGTTTTATGTCTATTTCACTTACGTAAGTTCAAACCTCAGGATTATTTGATATTAATAAAACTGTTTCTCCTAACGGAGGCATATGCTTGTTTTTTGGGCTAGTCAGGCCCTCCTGAAGTTTGGGCCATGACATTGACAACTGCACAACAGCTAAAAATAGGTTTTTTTGGGTGTTGTAACAGGTGAAGTTAGGGTAAGTTGTCTACGTCATATCCCTTGAGATGCAACTCTTTCCTAATCTTACATAAACGTGAAGTGCTCTATCATATTGGACGGGTCATCTTCTTCTTTTTTCCATGCCGGGTGAAATTACATATTCAAATCTGCCAATCAGTATAGTAATAAATTTCCTGACTAAATCTGAAGTTGACAATAGGGATTCGGTAGTTGTTGTGAAAATTTTCCAAAAATTAATTAAGTATGATAGAGATATATAGTGTTGAATTTCTTTTTCTTAAAAAGAAAAAAAGCTTTACCTGGGGACCGTCTATAGGAATCTTATACAATTCTCCCAATAAAAGGATTTAAAAAGAATCTTCTCATTTATATTGGGTTGTCACTTGTCAGCATTAATTTAAGTAAAGGTTAGATGATTAAGTATACGATACGTGTCTGATTTAGTACAAGTCAAAGTGAAATTAGAATAAAGTCCTAAAAGACATAAAGATGGATATCTAGGGTGTGTTCCGTACGAAGAAAAATGTATTTCATCAAAAATATTTTCTTGAAAAAAGTTTTTTTAAAAATAAATAAATAGATATTTTGGGTGTGTTCAGAACGGAGGGGAAAATAAGTTCCTTGAAAAAAATTTAAAAAAAAAGACTTTCCTAATAAAATTACTAAACAATAAATTCTACAAATGCTCCCCATTCTCTAACTCACCCATCCCCATTGCCCCCACATACCACCACTCAACTCTCATAATATTGGTGTAAATTATATATAAAGTATTTTAGGACAATACTTTTTGTATATATACCAAACACAAGAAGATAAACATAAAAATCCACTTATTTTTAAAAAAAAAATATTTTCCTGCATACCGACACACCCATTATTTATCTTCGGTATATAAGAAAAAGATGCTTCCTCCTTTCCATTTATGTGGCACCGTTTACCTTAGCACGATATTTAAGAAAAAAAAGAAAGATTTAAAACTTATGGTCTAAAACATCCTTATATACTTGTGTGGTTGTAAATCATTTATCAAGAATAGAAGGGATATTTTAAAGTCAAATTATTTCTAACTATAATAAGGTGACATTCCTTTTAAAACAGACTTAAAAAAAGAAAATGTGTCACATAAAATATAATGGGGTGAGTATTATTCTAAAAACATTTAAGTTAGGTTCGATGAAAGCTAGTCTGTGTCTGACTCGGTATACAGTCCGTGTCTATCGTCTAATTCAGTATACAGATAAGTCCTTTAATGGAAAGATATCTTAATTACCTAAATTTGCTCGAAGAGATAAGTGTATTACAACCAAATGACTTGCAAAGAATTTATTTCCTTTTTCCCAGCAAATACATTTGAAGATTAAACTAATATGATTACTTCCTTGGCAGGAAAAACACACATACAGAGAGGCACACACACACTTTAAGCCTTCAGGTATAAATATAATAGCACTTTTGGTGCTTAATTATCAATAAATTTTTAATTTTTGTTATAACTGACTAAGCATATTATTGAACCTTCAATTAATTGAAGTGCTGCACTTTTATCCTGCTTCTCGCAACTTTTTCCCAAATTTATCAAATTATCAATCATAACTATATTTAACAGACTATGTGTAACATTAAGTCTGTATTACTACTCAATATTTGAGGGTAATATAGTTTTAAAAATAATAAAAATATAACATATTTTTCTAGGCCAAAAAAACACACATTTATGTTGATTAAAGGTTAAATATACTTGGTCAGATATTACAAGGACCAAAATAAGAGTTCACCAATAATTGAGGGACCAAAAGGGTTGTTATTATCTTTTCTAAAGATAGTCAACACACGCATCAACTACATATACAATGGTTTAATTCAAAATTTTAAAATGGTTCTCTATAAAAACGTAAGCGCGGATTATGGCACAAATTAAGATAGTGGAAATGGTCAAATTATTAAAACCGTGTGTTAAATATTCATCTACAAATATCCCAATCTAATGTTATGTACTTCAAGTTCAAGACAAGAATCTTCAGCAAATAGAAAGGAGTAACCTTTTTTTCCTTTGAAATATTTATTTATTCTGAATTTTAACAATAAGCAAAGAAGATTAGCATGAACCCTACACAAGCAGTCAAGCACAAATAGAGAAATAACTTCATAATACAGCTGTTATAGTTGCAGTTTTTTTTAAAGTCACCAACCATCTTTCTATCATTCAATTTTTAGAATTGTTTTATTGGATAATATTCAGTTATAGTAATGTCGTTTCTCCCCATACTCATCTTGTGAGATTACACGGGGTTGTAGTAGTTATGCGTTTCTCAACTATTCTTGCCTTTCTTTACCCCAGGATTATTTTTGAATTAATACAAAAACAAGAAGGCTTATACATATTGGCTGATAGAGAAGTGAGAACTAAAACAATGGCACGTCCTTTCAACACCTTTGCTCTCAAGCTACAAGTACACTGCAAGTATTGTGCAAGGGAACTGGAAAAAGAGCTGCTAAATATCAAGGGGGTTCGTTCGGTGAAAATCAATCAAGAACTTGGAAAAGTAATCATCTCAGGCAAAGTAGACCCTGGAAAGATCCTAACCAAGTTTCAAAAGGTTGGGAGAGAAGCGGAACTCTGGTGCGAACAAGAACGACCTCTTAAAGATGTCAACGCGCTATCGAAAGTGATTGATCCACTCAATGATCCTGACATTATGACACAACTAGAGAGATTTTCTGATGACCCCAGTGTTAAAAGTGTGGAGGTGACCAAAACTATCAAGGTGATTTTCAAAGGGGAATCAAGAAATGGGCCTAGTGAAAAAATTGTGGAGATTAACACCACCACCAAAAATGTGAAAGAAACCCATGATCAAGTGTTTCCACATGATCATTGTGATCATTCTCATGGTGGTGGACTTTGTGGTGCTTCTTCATCATGCTGTGGTGGTCACTCTGCTATAAGTCATAATCTTAATCATGGATGTTGCCAATATGGTAACACTACTAGTTTGGGTCCTTGTTGTGCACATGGAAGAAACTCATGTTATTACCATAGCCAATATGGTAATAATCCCAACTCTGGTCCTTGTTGTGCACATAGTAGAAACTCATGCTATAATTACTATGGGCAATATGGTAATACTGGTTATGGTTCTTGTTATCCAAATAGCATTTCTCCATCAGCGGGAACAATATGGACAAATGATAATATTCCCTCAGCCCCACCTTTGCCAGATGACTATTATCAGGTGCCATCATCCTTGGCAATGCCCAATGATTATTATCAGGGACCACCACCATTCTCAACAATGCCAGATGAGTACTATCAAGCAGCACCATCCTTGGCAATACCTCACCCCTATTACAGTTTCTTAAATGAGAATAAGAATGGCTGCATAATCCTATGATTTTGCACATCTTATTTATCAAAAGAGGGTTGTTGTTTGTACGTGTGTGGGTGTATATATGTGAGTGAGAGAGGGAAAAAGAAACACAGAATAAGTGTAGTAGTTATTCTGTATATAACTCTATTTAATAACTACTTTGGTAATTTTTGCTCCTAGTGTGTGTAAAAATGTGAGAGGGGGAAAAAGAAACACAGAATAAGTGTAGTAGTTATTGTGTATATAACTTTATTTTGTAACTACTTTGGTAATTTTTGCTCCTTATGTAAATATTCTTTCGAGTCCACTTTGTTAAATTCATTAACAGTGTCCTTTACGATGATCGTAAGAAGCACTATTCCAGCAATTGAAATCCAAAATGTGCTTTATCCAAGACTATCCATGGGTATTAATTATGTGTTCAACTTTTATATACAAATAGTAAAAACTATTGGTACATCATCGGGTCACCTAAAAATTATTGTTAGATGTCTAAATGTAACCTTCATTTACACCGTTATAAAGCAAAGCCAACAAACACTCAAGACTTCACTAACATCTTCTCATCTAAATTATTAAGTTTGGGGTCTCTGTTACAGATTTTATTTTTCCCATGGGCTATTATGTCATGTTCCTTAGTTCAATGTATATAATGAGACAATTTCCTTAGCATTTGGAGATTGTGTAAAGGGAAATAAACATAAGTTCTATATAATTTTGTACACAGGAAAAGATGACATGAAACTCATCTAACCTGTAGATCTGGCAAAGAGGGGTCATTCGATCCTTGCACAGCTGAAATAGCCATCTATATCAAGCTGGATACAAAAGCATCCTACATGGTCAGGTAGAAAGTGCTAACGAAAGATAACAAATCGTACATGAAACTAGAAGATAATTGCACATGAGCAACGATTTACAAGCAATCAAAACTCCGTGTGGGGGGGGGGGTCAGAACTTGGCAGCATTAAAATTTTGGATTCTTTAGCTTAGCCAAGCACTCTAGTAATACAAAGAGGGGATTATCGAGATGCACATCCCATGACTTGGATATCACCATCAAAGTGAATGTAGCTCAGCGCCATGATTTGGAGAAGGTTGTTGCACCGGGACCAAGCCATCTTCAACCCAAGATTGTGTTAGTACGTCCTGTCCAGGATAGAAAAGGCACCTTTAACTCTTTACTCCACACTAAAAGTTGGAAATGTATATCTATAAATTGCTAATAGCTTTTCCAGTGAGTGCTCCTCAAAGTATCCAAGTATATAGGCAAACCAACGGATAACAGGCTAGTGGGAGGATCTTCAAAGCCAACAGACTAAATTTAAGTGTAAACATACTCAATCTCATTTCTCAAGTAGCTCAATTACCAGAAAATTCAAGCCCAACAGTATCACTTACATTCAAGGAGCGGTTACCTACAATCTTAAAGAGTCTTTGTTGTGCCTCAAAAAATAGTACTAATTTAAAATCCTAGAGAAACTTGCAGCTTAAAACCATACAAGTTAGACAAGGGAGAGAAGGAAACCATTGTTTAACCACTATGACAGAAAAGGCAGTAATACCTGCGTTTGTAATAGCTGATTTGGTTCTTGTGCCGATGAATATGCTTGTGGTTGGGACATCCGGTAATATGGCTCCTTCAGATCAAGTTTTCCAGAGGACGTTTGGAGCATATCTCCAACAGTAGCTATTCAAATTGATCAATGATATGTTAGATTTTATGGGACAAAGGGATCAACAAGATATGATTCAAATACTACAAACGACAATCATAAAAACTTACCTGACAATGTTAGGTAAATTGTATAACTTTGTGCCTTATGGGCAACCAGGCGAAAGTGGCCAGTTATCTCCTGTCCTGGCATGACATAAAGTGGCTGTGACAATACACACCGAAGCTGATACCAGTGAGTTGTAGGTGCACCAGGAGCAGTGGTAAGCCACCTCGGTACAGTGCTGCAGAAAGAAATGATGCAATTTACTGAAAAGTAGCAACAACAAATCCCAACAAGAATGATGCAAGAAATACAAATGTTTACCTTCCATTGAATAGTACATCAAACCAGCAAGCAAGCCCATGAATTCTAGTGCTAACAGAACATGCAAATTTCAATGGGATCTCAATTTCATATAGATCTTCTTCCTGTAATATATATGTGGAAAAAGATTATTATGCCCAGCATTATGTTTCAAAAAATTCTGGCTAGCATATATGAGTAATTCCACCATCTATTTTCCCCCTATCAACCGCCCACTCCACAAAGTAGGAACTTTGTTCATTTTAAGTGTCATGAAAAGCACATATATAGAGTTAATTATTCTCAAAAGTAGGAGGAGCTACTTCAGGCCTATGGGCTTCCATTACCTTTGCATCTCTGCTGATTCTGCTTTTCTTTCCTTGTGAAATAAACGTTTATCTTTATGTTAGAAAACTCTCTTAGATTCCTTTTTGAATCTGTAGGATTCCCTTTAATTGCCAAGAAAAACATACATAGAATACAGAACGTCTCTCTCAACTCTATTTTACGACCTACAGAATGAATTTTCTAGTAATACCTTTATTGAAGTGAAGTTAATCACATGAGATATTGCAGGAGCTACCAATAACCTTGGATCAAAAGCATCAACCACTGGCTGCAAAGTACATGAACATCCAAAAAAAGTGAGTGAATCTAAGACTAACTCGTCTTGTAAAGTTATGGAAACCATTCGCACAAATTGAGGAAACTAAATAAAGGACATCATGGTGGGGGAAGGGAGTAGGTTCAGCACATACAGTTATGATTTTGACAATGAAATTCAACTTGGATGCTGAATTCAACTTTGTTTTAAAAGCTTATAATTCAAAGTGAATAAATCAGAGGCCAAGTCATTTAATTACTAATATGCACGAGATTGACCTGAGAAAAGTATCCTTCATATGCAGATCTTTGCAAGGGTGTCAAATCAACCCCAAAATAGCTCTGTTGCTGCCAAAAAATAGCCTGTATAACAGTAAAAGTCAAATTAAACTCTTTTTCAATATGAAATTGAGAAAGATCATAACTATAAGAAACCATCTCCATAAATAAGCATGTGCATGAGAAATGCAGAATCCATACACAAAATTTATGTCTAGAAGGCTTGCATGGAGGCTTTAAGCAAGTGGAAAAGGACCAATGATGCAAGCCAAGTTGCATCAAGGCCTTTCCATGCAACAAAGGACAAGTTGCTTGCATGGAAAGGTCTATTTTTACTTGGACAAATGGAAATATGAAACTGTGGCATCTATGCACACCTTTGGCTAAGTGGAAAATCGGTTAGTTATGTAGCTAACATGCAATCATTCCTGTAAAAAGGCCATTATCATTTCATCACTACACGCCACAAATTTGCCTAAATCATTGTGTATCTAGCTCAATGATGACTTTATCTTCATGATCCCTCTCTAGCTTATCATTCACCTCTACAATCACTATCCTATAAACAGCAACTACATCTTAGTCCTACACAAGTTGGGTCGGCACTATGAATCCTCACTTTCTCATTTAAGCTCAACTCAAATCATCAATAAAATAAAAAATAAAAAGTAAGTTTGATAATATTAGAAGTCCTCCCATAAGTCTAAAACTTATTCCCAACTAGTAGATATCACCCATATGGATCATTTTCTTCCATTATGTCCTATCTTTAGCTAAGTCTACATTGATTCAAAAAAAAAAAATTGTAGGCCTTTCAAGACAACTTTCTTCCATGTAATTTTAGGTCTATCCCTTTCTCTTTCAACACCTTCATTCACCATAGTTTCACACTTGCAGACAGGTGCATCTGTAAGTCGACACAGGACATAACCAAACCATCTCAAGAGACTTCCACTCATTTTATCCTCAACGTGTGCTAATTGCACCTTCTGGCGAATATAGCCATTTTTAATCTTGTCTAATCTTGTATGACCGCACATCCAACTTAGCATCTGCATCTCTGCAACAGATCAGTATCCTATATAAACTGTTAATTGTTCATTTTCTTTTTACTTTATTGGACTTGTTGGTTTGTTATTTGAAATTTAAAGTTGTTGTTCCACCAGAGAAACTTTCACATTGCTGAAATATTTTCCTAGGACAATGCCAGGCACAACTATGCAACAAGTGAAAAGTGGCTTTGTATTTGGAAATATAGCACCTATGCATTAAGCCTTTAGCAAAGAGGCAACATTCTTGGTGAATGAAACTCCTCTCATATAGCACCCACCATCCTACTCCATAGGGGAAGAGCCCCAGTTTAAGAAGAAAATGTTATTGAGATAGGCCCAGAGAGCAAGAAAACAGTGATATGATCAAATGTACCTTATTTGCAATTTCCATATACAAATATTCATCACTGAATGGTGCCATGTGTATTCTACAAAATAAAAGAACCATAAGCTGAAATTTGGCAAATTAAATCATATAATAAACCACAAAGTAAAAAAAAATGAAAATATTACATACTAATTTATTTATCAAAAAGTCAAGAGGCTTGATAGAGGAAAGTGGAAGAAAGAGAGGCCTGATAGAAGTGGAAGAAAAATGTTTTTTTTAACAAAGAAGTTTGAAACACTAGTAAAAGCAATTGAAAATGAAAGGACAAGGTTTTTCTTTTTGGAGATTGGGTTGGGAAGTGGCAGCTTGGGTAACTGAATCATATGACGATAAAACATAAATAAAAACCAATTAGAAATAGTGGATAGAGATAGCAAGGCTGAAAAAAGGTAGGAATAAACAACCAAACATGAGGCTGAGGGCGGGAAATTGCTTGGAGGGAGAAGCGGGCAGCAGCATTGGAACATATTTATGGATACCAGACTGAGAATTAAGCTTGAAGACTCATCTCATGTTTAAAGGAGAATGAAATAGACAACTTGAGCTTCCACAATTCGCGATTCAATATTAGTCATATCATTGTACTCCGACCTCCTAAATGATTCACGGAAGGTAAAAGCTGATAGCTTGTGGCGGAAAGAAAATAATCTATGATACAAGGATCTTTTCAAAATAATGTGTCAAACTACTGGTGGGAGAAAAGTAAAGCACAGAATCCAGGAAGAAAAACTAAAAGAACCAAAGAACCTCATA